AGTCTATCGCCCTCTTTGTTAACATCAATAGACACTTCCATATTTCCATACTCCCTATCCCTGATATTTAGAACTATATCTTATAAATATATACCATTCTTTAAAATTGTATTTTATCATATATATATATATATATATATATATATATATATATATATATATATATATATATATATAATTTATTTTTATATTTGTGTCGGATTTAGCACTTCGGGCCCGCTATTGACAGCATACATGTCGACATAGCAACAGTAATATTTGCAGACGCTTTTCGCCTTTTTCTGTTTTCTCTTTGATAGTCAATACGACTCCTTTGTAAATTTCGGATACACTTCTGACATATATTTCCAGTTATTTCTATCCGGGGCAACTCGCTCAAATTTAATATGGAGCACATTCCCAGCTGAGACCTTACTTGATAACTTGTGTTTATACATGAGCCACATACATCCAAAAGTCATTTGCCCACTGTGAAGCTGTCTATACAGGAAGGCCTTAATTATTTTGTGTTCACTCATCTGGGCAACACGAAATTGTGCCTGGATCAGGAAAGGCTCAATTCCACATATGTTGCTTTTTTCGAAATGATCATCACTGCACACCATAGCGTGAAAGGTACAGCGAAGAATCTCCATATATATATATATATATATATATATATATATATATATATATATATATATATGAGCACTTTAACCTATAAACATTTTGAAAAATTCAGATACAAGTCTGGTACAAATTTCTATCCGGGGCAACTCGCACCAATTTAGTATGAGGCACATTGACTCTTGAGACATTACTTTTTAGCTTGTTTTTATACCCGAGCCACAGACGTCCAAAAGCTCTCTGTCCAGTGTAAAGCTGGCTATACATGATAACCTTAGACATCCTGACATCAGCTATACATGCAAAATGACCAACCCAGCGAAATTGTGACTGCGTCAAGAAACTTAAATTTCAATAATATGTCGACAATATGGCAATAATATGTCAATAATAATATGTCGATAATATGTCAATAATGATAAAATATCAATAAAATGTCAATGATAATATGTCAATAATATGTCAATAATAATATGTCGATAATATATCAATAATATGGCGATAATAATATGTCAATGATGATATTTTAATAATATCTCAATAATAAAATATCAATAATATGTCTATAATATGCCAATAATAATGCCAATAATATGTCAACAATAATATGTCAATAATAATATGTCGATAATATATCAATAATATGTCAATAATATGTCTATAATATGTCAATAATAAAATATCAATAATATGTCTATAATATGCCAACAATAATGTCAATAATATGTCAATAATAATATGTCGATGATATATCAAAAATATGTCACTAAAATATGTCAATAATGATATGTTAATAATATGTCAATAATAATATGACAATATTGTGTCTATGATATGTCAATAATAATATGTCAATAATATGTCAATAACAATATGTCAATATTGATATGTTAATAATATGTCAATGATAAAATGTCAATAATATGTCAAAAATAATATATCGATAATATGTCAAAAATATGTCGATACTTTTGCGAGAAAATCAACATTAGATATCCTATCGTCAAATGTATAGCCACAGATCGTGCGGAGATAATTTTTTTGGAAGGCTTAAAAATTATTAATATGGGGGGATGTATGTGGTCCACTATTCTGCGTCATGCAACATTGTTGTCAAAGCAGCTGCTCTATAAGCCCGTGTTTTATGTACAATTTGTTATCTCTGTCGTTCCATAGCTGGTGGCGCAGATTCCGAAATGCACTTATAGTATGTGTATGTGTGTAGGTAGGTAGGTAATATTCTGACACTCACACACACACATATACGCACACATAAGAATTTGGACATAACCGTGATATTAATCATATCGTGCGCTAATTTATAGGATGTATTCCTATCACTGGATGATTAATATTTAGTTTCAGACAACAGTCGATAAAAATCATTAAAACATTAATAATCGGGGGCCTGCCCTTGCTAAACATTAGACTGTGTTATTCTAGACTGTTTGTTTAATGTATAATTTATCACAAGTGAGAAAAAAACGTGTTACTGCAACGGACGAGGAGCCAATATGGTTGACAGGATTTAATTTCACCATTCTTTGAGCAGAAGTGGTAACTAAAAGCACTCAATTTGATTGCTTACGATTTACACACTCCTTTTTCCTCTTGTCCGCCACCTCCTTTACACACACACACACACACACATACATACTTAATACTTCCTTATAAGGAATCATCTCATATTACTATTATCGTCTAGACCAATGTTTATCAACCATGGAAACCTAAGGTTCCGCAAAAGGTCGCCAAGGGTTCTGCTAGAACAGTGAGATAAGCTAATGCTCTTTTGACTTTTTATTTAATTTCATATACGTAATATAACTAAATACACACAATATATTCTTGGTTACTTACATATATCGACACATTGCGTGATTAGGTATTTCGGTAAAAATAAAGAAAAAAAACAAAGAAATAAGTAATTTTAAGTACAGGTCCTGTTCACTGAGTGGGCACTAACTAGGGAAGGTGGTTTCACACACTGGCGCCGTACAGACATCACTGATTGTTATATTTTTTGATGACATAATAGGTTAGATAGGATGATTTCTATATTACAATATTGCAATAACTAAGATTATAATGTGTGTGTTTAGCACTATTACCTATATTAAATTAAACAAAAAGTCAAAAGTGCATTAGCTTATCTCACGTGTTCTCGCGGAACCCATGGAGACCTTTTGCAGAACCTTAGGTTTCCGGGGATAACGGTTGATAAACGCTGGTCTAGACGATAATAGTAATATGAGATGCTTCCTTATAAGGAAGTATTAAGTATGTAAGTGTGTGTGTGTTTGTGTGTGTGTAAAGAAGGTGGCGGACGAGAGGAGAACGGAGGGTGTGAGGGAAATAGAGACGTAAGCTATCAAATTGAGTGCTTTTAGTTATCACTTCTGCTCAAAGAATGGTGAAATTAAATCCTGTCAGCCATATTGGCCCAAAATCCGTCGCAGTAACACGTTTTTTTTTATTATAAACCTTGCGTAAATACCTTGTGAGTACATGACAGAAACTATACACGAAAATAAATTCATATTACTGCAAACCACTGCAAATGACCTAATCTGGGGAAAAAATTAAAAAAATCTATTAGACCCTGCCACTCCATCGGGTCTAAAACTGACCGTATGGCGAAGCAAAGGAAACTAAAGTGGCTGTTTCAATTAATTTGCACAAGGGTGTAGTTTCGTACATCTTGCTATCATTTACTTTTTACAAGAGCCAGATCGGTTTTAAAATGGAGTATGGCTGCCATATATGCAATGGAGCTGACCAGTCTTCACTTTCTAGTCTCGAAAGATTACGAAAGCGTCTATGCGTCCATGTGGGTGATGAATTATTTTCCAACCCCCAAGCTTACAGAAATGTCGTATGTATCTCCGTAATCTGTCGATATTTCCATTGAAAGTGTTCAGAAAATATTTGTTTCCACTACTGCCGTTTACAACTCGCCACACCATGCACAAACTCACCTCTTTCCCTTCGTATTTCACTCGTGATAAATAAGTTTCACTCCAGCGGCTCGGTGGATCCGACTGCCAATAGGATAATTCCCCGATTACCACAGTCTTATCCTTTTCAATTCTAGGGTTAATCATTATCTTCCTCACATATCCCCATATACTGTGCCTCTTCAGCTGTCAAAAAAATCTACCTTGAGTGGATTTTGAGACTTGTACAACACTTTGGCAAAACTGTAAAAAAAAACTGCAAAAAGGAATTAGATCAGTATCTGTCTATATTTCTGAGATGAGTTATTACGTACATTATTTACATTATTCGGACTATTGTCCTCATCTTTGTCGCCATATTTATTACAACGTTCCGGCCTTTCAGTATCTGTCTATATTTCTGAGATGAGTTATTACGTACATTATTTACATTATTCGGACTATTGTCCTCATCTTTGTCGCCATATTTATTACAACGTTCCGGCCTTTCAGTATCTGTCTATATTTCTGAGATGAGTTATTACATACATTATTTACATTATTCGGACTATTGTCCTCATCTTTGTCGCCATATTTATTTTAACGTTTCGGCCGTTGTACGCTCCGGTCTTCTTTAGGTGGTTGGCTAAGGCAGTGGAGAACTTGGAGAGGGGAATTAACAGGAGATAACTGATGACTGACATCCATTAAACATGACACGTTGAATTACATCAGTCTACGCCAGTGAGCGAATTAAAGGGTTCAGTTCGACATTCCAACCCCTTGAAGAAGGCCGGAGAGTACAACGGCCGAAATGTAAATGTGATGTAAATAATGGAATTGGATTTGTTAGTCTTAGTCACTCTTGCTTCCACTATATTCTGCGTGGGTCAAATTCTTCAAGGTTTCTTATCTCATTATGTGTCCTAGAAATTGTAAGCATATTTTTCTGAGGGTAATTTCTATTGGAAACTCTGAAGTGGGGGGGGGGGGTGAGACGACCACACCCTATACATTTTCTTCCAAGCACCGCGATAAACAACGTAAGTGTGTGATAATGTTATGCGTCAAACGGCTTCACACTGCATATTTTATCTAAGTGATCGTAGCAACAAACCCGATATTTTTTTTTTTACCTAATCTCATATATAAAATTCCATGTTGAACTAATTGATTTTGGAATTTTTTAGCTAGTTACCAGGGTAGCAGTTACATGTCATAACTTCAACGATCTTATCCTATTACTCGCATGTTATCGCTATTACGGCTTCTAATTTTTCGTCTTGTACCATTAAAATTAGCATCATAGGACGCCACTCTTTCTAATTGTGAGTGCAACATTACAGAAATTGTAAAATGAAACTTTTATTGTAAGACTTTTAAAAAAAATCCCGAATAAATCACAGAATAAAACGAGAAAAGATATCTAAAATGACATCTTTGCTAGGTGAGAAAATCTCAAAGATAAAAAAAAAGAAATGTTTTATGTTGAGGAGGGCTGAGACGTAAGTGGCGAAAAGAAATTATCGATAAATACAGCGTTTGCAACATCGGAGGCGCTCCGCTTAAATATGCATTGGCTTTCCCTCGTTGGCTTCTAGCTGGAGAAGCGGAAGTTAGACAGGAGGAAGTAACCATTATTTTTATTAAAAATCGACACCCTGACACGAGGCCAATACGGAGTGTCCATCAATAATGCATAACTTCCAACCACAGGGACCAGCAATAAATAAATAAACAAAATAAAATAAATAAATAATCATAATCCCGACTCTCCTTGGAAGGTAGATTGAAACTGGAAAGAAGGTGAATGAAAATCAATCGTCTGGAATTTTTTCTTTCATCATCATTCATTTTGTTCTTTTCATCCCTTGACTTTTTAGAAAATCAGTTTCTCCTGAATCATCTATCAACTGACAGCATACCGCCAATTTCAGGGGACTTCTGCGTTTGACTTTATATATATATATATATATATATATATATATATATATATCGTCGAATTCGACGTATGAGGGTCAGGCAGATCAGTTTCCAGGAAACTGACAGCCCGACAACGACATATGAGATTTGATTATAGTGGTGAAGGTTTCGTGCAGGATCATCCACACTTTTGAAGGGCCGAATACAGAGACCTGGTGCACTACGTGCCACAAGGTCCACAAACGACCCTCTGCAGGTTTTGAATTCAGAGTTGTTGTTCTTCTAGACCGGTTGCCATCCAAGGCTACAGAACCCAGTCTGTCCTGCTATTTTATTCATAGCTGAGGCGAAGGGTATTAGCACGGAAGTGAATGTAATGGATTAGACTGGAATTCGAACTCGGCTCTGTGATTCCTCAATCCAAGCCGCTATCCATTACTCCACCGTGCTCCTCTCTCTCTCTCTCTCTCTCTCTCTCTATATATATATATATATATATATATATATATATATATATATATATATATATATATATATATATATATATATATATATATATATATATATATATATATATATATATATATATATATATATATATATATATATATATATATATGTGTGTGTGTATGTGCGTGTTTAAGTATCAATGCTTCTTTTATGCACATTTCATTGAATACGACAGACAAGGTGCTTTTTATTTAGTGTTTTTTTTAATACAATTTCTCATTCGGTCTAATATTTTTTTTCTTTTCGGATAATAAATTATATAAAATCTGCCCGAATGTTATTTTTATGCGAGCGCTTTCGGCTATACATTTAGCCAATTTCAAGGATGAAATATTTTAACTTAAGAAACTTAAGAAATATTTTGTTGCATGTATGTTTTATGAAATGTTTTCATTTTTCAAAACACGGTCAAGATATTATGTCCATATTCAAAGTTAATATTATTAAGTGTTTTTTTTTTTGTTTTTATTAATAAGGCTTCCATTATTTTTAGCCTTTTTTTGCATGTAGATGATGCTATTCTATTTGCGTTGCCAACAAGTATGTTACGAATAGTGTCCGGTAGGTCTCCATGAATATTTAAATGAGATCTAATTGAGCTATGCTCAGAAAGGTGTAGAGTGAGTCTGCGTGTCAAACATGTTGTATTGTGGTCTATATAATTATTTAGGAATTTTGATTGATCAGGAATACAATTCCTTTATGGGCATTTAAATTCGTAAATAATATTTTCCCTTTTTGATTTTGTTGTAGGATATATATATATATATATATATATATATATATATATATAAACAGCGATAACAACGAAAAAATATGTTCATACCATTTTGTATATATATCCGAGGATGTCATTCTACTACGACGGCGAGCTTAATCCAATTCGAACTGTCGAACTCTCTGCCTTGAGCAGACAGGAACCCGGACGAGGCTTTGCCGAAGGACAAAGAATCGACCGAGGAGGTAGACAGGAACCTCAACCCGTTTATACGGGTTCTAAGGGAATATTTTTGGTCGAGCATAAATTTTAAAGGTGCATTAATCTACAAATCACTGAATGAATGTTATGATCATTGTTTTTAAAAATTATAAGCTGTATAAGGTCTTTCTTTAATACCCAAGTTCTTTCAACTGTACATTCAGTCATCTTCAGTCATGGAAATTATTTTGTTTTTTGCTAAAATTCAGGTAGCATCCGTGACGAAAAAATATATTGTAATATATATATATATATATATATATATATATATATATATAGAGAGAGAGAGAGAGAGACGTGGTTGGAGCGTTCGCTTTTTCAAACATGAGACCCAGGTTCGAACCTCACCATGGTCGATTTGTTATTATTGGTCTGGAAGAGGCGGTCCCAGCGTGCGACACATTTGTACAGTGCTTGAAATCCATACCTCACTAGGGTTGGCCCAAGCCGTTTGAATGAAACTGAGAACAATTTAGGACCGTACTGATCTTGTTTCAGACTGTGCGCTGTCTCCCAGAAACCGTAAGCTCCGCTCAGCACAGGTGACATTTAGCTACGCCCCCACAACCACGAGGGTTACAAGTGGCACAAGGCCGGGTTCGATTTGGAGTCTCCGAGCCCTTAGGCTCGGCCAAAAATATTCCCTCTTTGAACCCGCATAAACGGAATAAGGAAAAATAGGCAAAAGATAGATACATAGAAAGAATATGCAAATATAAGTATATATATATATATATATATATATATATATATATATATATATATATATATATATATATAAAATAAATAGATAGACTGTTGGACAAGTTAGCCAAGTCCGCTCAGCACAGGTTGAGCTAAGCCTTGTAAGAGGCGAAACTCTTTGGGATTTGTAAATGTTTGAGCAATCAAGTCAACGTGACCGAGGTTGTGAGCCTACTGACCATTTGCCGTCTGTTGATCACGGCAGATAATGCGCCCTCTCCCAGAAAATATAACTAAGCCAAACAGATCAGGGTTGCAGTGTATACAGTGACAATTGGCTCTGTGGGGGAACAAATAAAAATGTGACTGAGCAAGAAACTGCAACGGGGATTGGCTAACCTCTATAGTAGGTAGACGTACTTGGATAGGAGAAGCCGGCCATTATACGATAGTAGTTCGAGGTCTTCAGCGAAAGATTGTAGCATTAGCAGTCCAGATGTAAAAATGCTTAACTCAATTCTTAGCCTCCTCAGATCTATTGTTCTCATGTCATACATGACACTCAACGTATGTACAAATGTCCAAACCAGCAACTGTACCATCTTTATTTGGTCAATGATTAAGCGAATGAACCATGGACACACTTGAGATAGACAATAGCAAAGAAAGAAATAAGGAAAAATAGGCAAAGAAAGATAGATAGAATAGGCTAAAATAAGTATATATATATATATATATATATATATATATATATATATATATATATATATATATATATATGAAAATATATAGAAAATAGGAAGGAACTGTTTAGGTAAATAATCCAAAGTCCCTTACTATTTTAGTTATTATTTTTTTTCGGCTCTTGTTTTGAAACATGAGACCTCTTATGTAGCGATTTGGAATCATATTTTTAAATAAATAATTATATATATATATATATATATATATGAAGAAAAATATATGAAAAAACAAAAATCCGAATATGCAAAAATACTGTTTTAATGTTTTATGTCTATCGTCTTTTTATGTTGATTTGAATATCGTCTTATATTAATTATGTTTTAATAACTTTGTCCTGAAGAAGGTCTACTAGACCGAAACGTCTGACGTCGACATTGAAACAACATTAAAACAGCATATTTGCATATTCTTGTTGTTTTTTCAATATATTTTTCTTCATACTGTCGAATCTATATCCATATATTTGCTTACATATGTATATATATATATATATATATATATATATATATATATATATATATATATATATATATATATATAAAATGCAAGATAAAAAGAGAGATAAATAGGAACATAGATAGACGGAAGGAAAACAGAAGGAAAGAATAGGCATGGATAGATAAATAGAAAGTATTGGCCAAAATAAATAGATAGATATATAAACAGATATATAAAAATAAAACGCTGAGATAAATAGATAAATAAAGCCATAGATAGATAGATAGATAGAAGGGAAAAAGAAGTAAGGAAAGAATAGGCTGAGACAGATAGAAAGAAAGAATGAAAGAAAGAAAGAATAGGCTAAAGTAAGTATATATATATATATATATAAAAGGCAGTGATAGAGATAATTAAAAACATAGATAGACAGACATACAGATAGACATATAGATAGATAGCTAGATAGAGGCATATATACATAAAAAGAATAGGCTGAGACTGATAATGAACAAATGAGATCAATAGATAGATAGATAATTATATATATATATGTATATATATATATATATATATATATATCTGTTTGTGTATGTATGTGTGTGTGTGTATAAAGAGAATTTAATAGACTGGTTGATAAAAAGAGTAGCTAAGATAGATAGATAGATAGATAGATAGATAGATAGATAGATAGATTGACAAATGGACGGACTGAGGTAGATAGATATATGAAAGAACTTAGATAGATGAAAGGATTGAAATAGATAGATAGATAGATAGATGAAAGGATTGAGATAGATAGATAGATAGATAGATAGATAGATAGATAGATAGACTGTTATTGAAAGGATTGAGATAGATAGATAGATAGATAGATAGATAGATAGATAGATAGATAGATAGATAGATTGACAAATGAACGGACTGAGGTAGATAGATATATGAAAGAACTTAGATAGATAGATAGATAGATAGATAGATAGATAGATAGATAGATGAAAGGATTGAAATAGATAGATAGATAGATAGATAGATGAAAGGATTGAGATAGATAGATAGATAGATAGATAGATGAAAGGATTGAGATAGATAGATAGAAGGATTGAAATAGATAGATAGATGAAAGGATTGAGATAGATAGATAGATAGATAGATAGATAGATAGATAGATAGATAGATAGATAGATAGATGAAAGGATTGAAATAGATAGATAGATAGATAGATGAAAGGATTGAGATAGATAGATAGATAGATAGATAGATAGATAGATAAATAGATAGATAGATAGATAGACTGTTATTGAAAGGATTGAGATAGATAGATAGATAGATAGATAGATAGATAGATAGATAGATAGATAGATGAAAGGATTGAGATAGATAGATAGATAGATAGATAGAAAGGACTGAGATAGATAGATAATGAGATCCTTTGTACTATGTTATTTAATTCTTTTTTCTCACATTTTTTTCATTATTAGCATTTCTCATTTCACAGTTTCGTATTTCATGCCTCCCTCCTGATTAAATATTCTACCCACATCTCTTTGAGCATTTCCAGTTCATTTTTGCTCCTGGCAACATTTTTAATCTCAACAATGTACACGAGGCACTTCCGTTTTTCACACGTTTTTTTCTGATACTGTAAACATGGCTGCATTAAATCTTAATTTACACTTCAGTAATATCATCACTAAAATGTATGCAGCTCTTCTAGTTCCTTGAAACCGACCCCTCCACCAGGTTTTTCTTTATCATCTTGATGTGTAATATATCTTTAAAATGATGTAGATCATGGCTTTCCGCGACTTCCCATCATGCGTCGTTGTAAATAAAGCTATATGCTTACGATTCATCCCACTTTCTGTTGTGCCATGGATTTTAAACAAATTCGTTATGTAGGTTAATCGAAGGTTTTCAATATCTCTACATTAAAAAACTCCAATCTATAATAGAAAATGCGATGTCAGGGGAACTGCAATGATAAATTTCTAAAAAGAAATTACTTTAAAAATAAGTCTTTAGAAATTGTACATAGCACTAACAGTAAATATTTGTTTAATGGATTCCAATGTTTTCAGGCCGTAATGTTTTTCCAGACCGTAACGTTTCCTGACCGTAACGTTTTACAGACCGTAACGTTTTACAGACCGTATCGTTTTACAGACAGTAACGTTTTCCAGACTGTAACGTTTCCGAACCATGACATTTTCCAGACCGTAACGTTTCTGCAATTCTAAGTTCCGACATCCTAGTCACCATACTTATTAATTAGGTTATGCAAGACTTTCCATTATTTGTAGCTCTAAATAAAGTTGTATCCTCACTATTCCTGCTAGTTCCTTTTATGCAATCCATTGTACACAAACATGGTAGGTAGGTTAGTCAAAGTTTTCCTTTGTCTTGACGTAACACTAATATGCCTTGTGGGTGTCAGATTTTTCATACCCGCCTCTATTCATAGTCCTTTCCATAAATCCAGGTATTGTCAACCGCTACAAATTTGACTAGCACATGTCATCGGAAGAGTAAACCAATAATGAAATTGAACTGTTAGCTTTCCTCATGGCTGATGAAAAATGGGTTATTTGATAACATCAATCTGCAATAGAAAATGTGATGCCAGTGGATCTGCACTGATAAATTTTCTAACAAATATATTTTAAAAATGAGTCTTTACCAATTGGACATGGCACTACCAGTAAATATTTGTTTAATGGATTGCGAACTTTTCCAGACAGTAACATTTTCCAGACCGTAACATTTTCCAGACCGTAACGTTTCTGCAGTTCCTAGTTCAGTGAAATGTAGATGTGAAACGTGGACACTGCAGGGAGAAACAGAGAGAAGGATGCACCAGTTTGAGGACAAATACGTGAGAAAACTCCTTGGCATTTTCAACTGGGAACATAAATCCAATGTATTTGTGCGGAAAATGGTTGAACGATTTGTGGGGTAAAATGGCGTGGTTTGGTCACGTTGTAAGACACGACAGCCTGTGTAACAAACATGCAAAGAACCGTTGAAGGTGGAGAAGACGCCAACGCAAAAAGCTGGTTGGACATTGTTAAACAATGGACAAGAATTGCTGATGGCTGTCGTTGATAGACCGTTATGGAGGAGATTCAATATGGCTTCCGCATACGGATCCCCCTCTAGGATTAGAAAAGTCAAGGGGATGATGATGATGATGATGGCGATGAAATAGTGATAGCTTCATAGAAATTTTAAGAGCTACAAAGGAGAGGTAAGTTTGGAGAGCCATGATCGCTTTACTTCTTCCGTATACGATACAGGTTCGATTCCTGTCGGAAGACAAATATTTTCTATGAAAATTTCTCAGACATTCAGGCCGGTAAATGTTATTAATACTGTTTATTATTAAAAAAAAAAAAAAAAAAAAAAAAACAGAGCATCCACTTAAATATTCGCATTTATAAAAAAATGTATAAGCATAAAAATGTCTTAGATACACTTGTAAAGCCAGGGAAAGATAACTCGGCGTAAGTTATGCAACTGGTCGGAGATTTCTAGAAACAGTGTTCAAACCACGCAGATGGCGTTTGTTCCTACTGTAGTGTTCGTAAAGCAAAGAAATCTAGAATAAAACAAGTGTTAGACAAGAGAGATGAATGATTGGGAAAGTCTAGCGTTAAAATAAAAAAAAAACATTCACAACCGGACATATACTGCGTGCCAAATTATTATCAAGATAACATTTTTTCTAATATTTCAAAAACCGTCCAATCAATTCACACAAAATTTTCACACAACGTTGGCAATACTGACCACTGATTTTTTGTACTGATCTGCGCAATGTAAACAAACTGGCGCCATATTTGCTACCAGCACGGTGATTTGAGAGTGCCAAATTATTAGAAGGTTTAGTAAAATTCCCAGAATTGAGCAAACAAAACGTTTATTAATGTTGCACGTGAATGTTTATGATCAAAAGAACATAATAAATAAGATAATCAAACAAATAATAACAGATACAAACAAAGGCACAGTTATAAACAAATTAATAGGGAATGTGCTTTCCCAGTTTTGAAATTATTTGAAGAAGTCTACGATGCATAGAATTTGTTAATTGTAGGATGTCATCTGCTGTAATGCCGCGAGATATGTCAAGAATTGCTTCCCACAACTCAGCGTTGCTCCTGAATTGTCGTCCCTTGGCGTACAGTCTTCGCTCCACGAGGCTCCAAAGGTTTTCGATTGGGTTCAAATCCGGAGAATTTGATGGCTACTTCATTTTTCGAGGTCCATCAAAGCCTAACTGTTTCAAATATTCAGTAACCTTGTGAGCAGCATGTGAGGAAACATTATCTTGCATAAAAATTAATGGCCCTTCTGAAGGCAACTCTTTGCCTTTTCATCCACGTTTCAAGATGCTCCTTCATAAACGCTTATGTATGTATCAGCAGTCATTTTGACGTCATCTGGTACTCTCCATGGGCCCACTAATGTTTTCCAATAATACCACCTCAGATCATTTTGCCCCAACCGCCTTGTTGGCGTCTCAAACGCTGATGGCGATTCTGTCCGTTCATTACCCAGCCTTTCTCCATCTATCTGGCCTAAGTGTTGCTCGAGTTTCGTCTGTGAACAAAACTTTAGAGAAGTCAATCTTCATATGGTCCTCGACCCATTTCAATCGATTTTGAATGTGATTTCTCGTCAACGGAGGCTTCGATACAGGTTTGACTGTTGTTGCTATTTCCCTCAGATACCGACACCGAGTACTTTTAGACACAGTAGGATCCCCAATGCAACTGAAAAGCTCTTGACTGGTAAGTCCAGGGCCTCTCGTTTAAGTCATGACATGAGACGACGTGAAATAACCTTCGGCTTACCTTTATCTGCCCTTTTGCGTACTTGTGTAGGGTCAGGGGTGAACTTTTTTTTTGATGACACCTCCCTATCATTTTAGAAATTTCTAGGGTAGATTTACCTTTTGAGAGTTCTGAGGTGATAGTTTTCTTTTCAGCATCACTTAAACTGCTTTTACGACCCATCTTTTCATTAATTCTTACACTTTTATAATAATTTGGCACTCTCAAATCACCATGCTGATAACAAATATGGCGCCAGTTTGTTTACATTGCGCAGATCAGTACGAACATTTCAGTGATTGCGCAGGTCTCTGTTGCCAATATTGTGTGAACATTTTGTGTGAATTGATTAGACGGTTTTTGAAATAGTAGAACAAAATTATCTCACTAATAATTTGGCACGCAGTGTATAAGGATTGAATGCAAACGAAAGATTTAGCTTCCAGAGTATTACGAAAAAAATCAGCCTGAACGGAGTTAGATCAACAAAAAATATCATTAACTAAAAATTCTGAAGTGGTCAAATGCACATAAAAGATGGGATAATAGAAAGTCCTAAAAAAAGTTATCTTTAGTGATAAATGCTAATATTTTTTACAAAATTATTTTAAAAGTAAGATTAACCCATTCCAACCACCGGAAGCTACTGGGGATAGAGCTTTACGTTAAGAGGCAATTTATGCAGACAGGAGTGAAGGATAACATTTAACCTTACTCTTGAACAGAGATAAAAACTCATCAAAACAGTTGCTATAAAAATATTTGTAGAGAAGATAGAGAGAAGATCGATCACATTATAGACCATTCTTTGAATTTTGTCAAGAATTTCTAGATATACACCAGGATCCTGATATTGCAGCATTCAATACACGGACGAATGGTGGGTTTATAAATGTGCAAGATGCATTTTGACGCAAACATTTTCTGATACAACACTGTGAACCAAATTTCTTGCAGTAGATGAAGCAATTGCTTCGATAGTCCGTCTACTTCGTGACAGTGGAAACATGAGGCCAAGAAAGCGTAGAGTCTTCTGGATTTCAACATCAGCGATGCTGATGGCAGGTAGAAAGATTTATCTGTCTGGATTAAATGAAAGCAGTTTTGTTATGGACCCTTTGCTAATTATAAGCCATTTCTTGGCGCTCAGTCAACCACAGTAGGATCTCTAGTTTCCTTAGGATGGCATTTTTATTTTTAACGTAAGTTTAGCCCATTACAAGCATCGGGAGCCACTCGAGGTAGATGGTTACGTTAGGTGACAATTTGTGCCGATAGACGTGGACGACAACGGTTAACCTTAGCCTTGAACAGGTTAAGATCGTAGTGATCAGAGAAACAGCTTCTTGGGAATCGGTTCTATAGTGTAGTGGGTCATGGGAAGAAGCTGTTCGAGTGGAACTTACTTCTCACTGATTGAATGCTGAATGTAGTTGGGTACTTTGATACTATGTACGTGGTATAGTGGGCCCTAGCTGTGATGGCTAGAACTGGCGGGACTAAGGTCTTTCCAAGCACTTTCGAAGCACTTTCCAAGGAAGAAGCGAGAGAACAGTGAGAGACTCGCCAAATTCAGCCTGTGAGAGACAGAGGTTGGTTTGGTTTGGTTTGTTTTACGGCATATCAACCTCAATCGGTAATTCAATGCCGACAAGATTGTTATTGATGCTAATACCTTTTTTTCAAAAAAAGTATTTTTGGGGAATATTTTTTCCAAAAATGTACTGATAACAATGTATTACTGATAATAATGTATTGCTGATAATAATTTTTCCAAAAAAGTATTGCTGGTATTAAAACCAATTTTTATATTTTCATATTGTTTTCACCTCAATTTGGGGGTTAACTATTTGTCCATAGCTGGGACCCTAATGTGTTACCACCCCGGGTCAGAATGGACATGGGAACACCAGCAATAATGGGGTGGTTTTACGCTCCTCAAAAACCCTGACCAAGGGCTTTCCGTTGTATGTAGTTTATCATCTTACCAAGGACGCGGATGCAGTGTATCGTCTTACCCAGGAAGCGGATGTAGTTTATCGTCTTAACCAGGACGGAATGCGTATGTAATTTATAGTCTTACACAGGACGCGGGAGAGAGGTTGGTTGGTGGAAAACAGTTCATCACCCACAAGGAATCGGATGCGTTTTGGACGCTATATTTTTTTAATCTATCGAGACTGGAAAGTGAAGCCTGGACAGCCCCCACTCAAATATGAAAAGGGTACCCCAATTTCGGCTACATCTGGCTCTTGTAAATGGGGAGGATAGAAGCCAGGTAGTTACTGGAGCGGTACAGGGGGCCTATCATTTTACCTGCACCTTTAGCGATGGATCGAATATACGAGTCCTACGTGGGGTCAGGTGAG